CCCGCAGGTACGAGCAAAGGCCGAACGGGCGCAAAAAAAGTGTTTTCGCGATCAGCTGACGCGGTATAGGAAGTAGAGACGTAAGGCACTGAGATGCTGTACATGGCGCCTTATGCATCTCCCCTGCTCTGATATATGGAAGGCGGAGCTCTGCGGTCACATGACCATAGGAAACGGCCGCGCACATCTTTAAAAATAAATTAAATATATAACAATGGAGGGCGATCGTCACTAGGAGAAAAACCCTCCCAAACCCCAGCCATAGAAAGGTCAAGCTCCGCCCCCTACGCATTTCTGTAATGATCAAATAAAAAAAAAAAAGAGATGCATTGTATTGCTCATCTGGATGAGTTGGTTGGTTGGACAAGCGGGCCAATTGCAGCGTTCCGCATCTGCGACAAACAGGCGGAAATGTCAACTGACCGGCCGATCGTCTTTCTTTGTAACATCCCGAAAAAATCGTACCAACGCTCTTCAAACCCCTCCACCCTCAGTGTACCAGTCAGGTAATGTATCTAGCTTGCATGTGATTGGTTACCGAGGGGCCGTCCTGCTTCGGCCCGATTGGTCCGGCTACCTGACGCCTTATAAAACCCAAACAAAATATCGTCCGATATAAAACTGTGATCTGATTGGCCAGACCCGCCCATGAGGGGACATCAAAGATTGTATATTAAAAATAATCCATCGCTGTAGATCCCCCATGTATTGTTTTATAATGCGGGCCCCGAGGAGGATTCTGGGATACATCCAAAAAAGAAGGTTTGTGAGGTTGTCACCGCTCAGTCCAGAGATATAATGTCCGGTCGGCACCCTGGTATGGTGGAGGAGGGGTTCTGCGAGGCGCTGTGGGCGTGGTTTTCCCGTAACGTGCTGGTGGACACGATGCTGCTTATCCGGCTGGCGCCGTTGCTGGTTCCGTGGGTTCCGGTGATGGCCTGGGTCAGGGGGCTCATGTAATGCGGAGGTGTGGGCCGGTACTGGAAGAAGTGGCTGAGAGTGTCCTGCTCGTCCAAGGAGGTGATGACCGAGGGGCTGTAATGCTGGAAAGGGAGGAAAGGAGAGGTCAGTTTAACCCGTTCATCACCAAAGCAACTCCGCATGCATCGGTTAGCTTGACCACATTAAAATGTAACAAAGGAATTTTCCAAGACTACGCAGCCCAAAAAAATACCAGTAGACCCCTCCCCCGAGTAACCAATATGAACACCACCACAGAGCACTGAATAAATAAAACGTTTTATTTCGGTTAAAAAGTTGTTGTTTTTTTGTTCTCAAATCTCTGAAACTATTTTTTTTTTGTCTATCGTCAGCCAGTAAGTAAAAACCTCTAAATACAGATACGTCAGATATTTAAATACATAAATATGAAAACCAGCCCGCCCGCCGACCATTGTGGCATTAACCCTTTCAGCTCCAAAGAAGAGATCTGGAATGTGTTTGGTTTTTTTTGGGATTCTCTAACGCAGCCTTAAAGGGGGAAGCGAAAAAAAACCTTCATAGAAGTAAAAGCCGGGCTCCGGAGCTTGCGTACGGCATAAAAAAAAAAAAGAGATATATCAGTGTAATTTTGCACGCGTCTCTGAATAATATCCGGGTAAGTTATGAGAAGACAGCAAGTTAAAAAATAAAAAATGTACAAAAAGACAACGTACAGAAGAAACTGCGTCAAGGCTACAAAATAGCTTAAAGTCACTTCATATCCACCATTTAAGCAAAAAAAAATAAGACATTAGAAGTGGGGGGCGCAGCGCCTCATCACAGCCTCTAGGTGGTGCTGTGCTGAGCTTTTACAGTGATCTGGCGCCACCCAGAGGCTGCAGGAGGTATTACCTGTATAAGCGATTATGTTAATGCTTTATTTCACCGCGACAGCCGTCCACAATTAAAAAAATAATAATAACCTAATAGTGTTAATAGAGCTACACGGGCGCCATTTTATTCCCCTGCTGCTGAGAGATTTAAAGCTAAAGTCTAGGTAAAAAAAAACAATATAGATATAAATAAATCTCCCCCTTCACTTACACAGGGCTGATGTGCTCACCCACCCTACTGCACCAGTGCGTGATTGGCCAATCAACAATAGCACTGACCCATGGGAGGAGGGCAGATTTAGCGCCACACCAATGATTAAAAGTCTGAATATTTTTTAATTCTATTACAGTATATATAAAACAGCGACAAGCTGACATTTCGGGGGTGACCCTTCATCGGGGGCTCAATATACTGGTGAAAATCCGACTGGAGTGATGTCAAGTGTGAAAGCAGCTTCAGGAACATATTCAAGGCCCCCAAGGGGGTCCTTTGGAGCCCAAAATGTGCGCGCTTGTTTTATTCTGCAACACAATGTTAAAATATTCAGACTCCCAAACCATGCCTAGGACGGAAATCGAGTCCAAGGCGCCCCCCGGTGGTCTCTTTGTGCATGACAGCACACTGCTAGAGTGGGCCGACTTTGTAACCGTCCAGCAACTGCA